ATTAAAATAATTACATATGCAGAGTTGAGTTGGTTGTTAATAAGAAACACTCATTAGCAGATTTAACAACTGAATTAAAAATAAATTATTCCAAGACAGGAAATAAAAGGTTGAAACTTTTCTTAAGTTACAGTAATAAAAGCCATAAGAGTTATGGATTTTTGAAATTTATATGTCAAATGTTCAAACTATATTTGAAGAGTTAGATTTTGACACTTACAAAGTGTCAAAAAACTTGACACTTAGAAAGATCAGTGTTCTCATTCTTCCAGTAATGACTAACAGACACAGACGGGTCACTTCATTCCTTCCATTAATAGAACTGAGAGAGGAAAGGCTTTTTCCTTAATCCAAAAACAAGCATGAGTCTACCTATAGCAAAGCTCATTCACATGCCCGAATATCAGTGTACCACACAACCTGAGTTCACATCAGTGCTTTAGTAAGTATAGTCCCTGCGAAACATTCTGCTCTTCTCCATCTTTAAAAATATACAATGGTTGAAATTTAAAATGACCATTTAATTATTCTCCCTACAAGTGTCTATTGAGCACTACTTTTTTCCAGACATGTTAGAGGTGAAGAGAACATGGTGGTGAAAAACTTGATCAAGGTCTTATCATATCATAGAGATGCCATTTTAGAGATGGTTATAGACATTGAGCAAGTAAACAAATAAATTAATTTCATAATACAAGCAAAATAATTTCAAGATGTGACAAATGCTATGAAAGAAGTAAGATATAATAATATAATGGAGTGACTGGGAAAGGGAGGATATGTGAATTTGGAGTTCAGGAAAGTCATATCTAAGCAGGAGATATCTGAGGCTATGCAAAGGTCTGGGAACAGAGCAATCCAGACGGCAGGACAGCAAGCACAAAGATGCTAAAATGGGAAGAAGCTCAGTCTGGATGGAGACAAATACAGACACTGGAAGGAATAAAGTTACCAACACATCTTTGTTACAAGTGATGAGAAAGTCTAACTGAGAGGAAATGTTAGCTGTGAAATCCGGATAACTCATCCTGCCATTTAAGTTGATTAATCAGAATTTCTAGTTGTCTCAATGCAGAAATGTCCAAGCTAATATCACCATTTTCCATGACCCACTTCTCCAATGGAAATAAGATTTATCTTGCCACCCCAAGTGATACCATTTCTGGAGGGGCAGGGAATTTAGGGAGCAATGTGAGAGTCATGCCAAATTTAATAGTCAACTAACAGACACAGACGGGTCACAATATGTATTTTCTCATTGTAGGGAATATATGAATCCCAGGAAAGGCCGTTATTGTGGTGGATAATAAGCATTACAGAACAGCTATGGCTTTTTGGAATTTGGTCCGGCCAAGGTGTGAATTTTTCCTTTCAGTGGCATTTAACAGATCTCGTCCATAACTAGGCACGGATGACACTCTTCTTCACTTTTTGTTCCTTTTATACCAGAGAGTTACTTTCTAAGTACAAATTCAAATTAGAAACTCACCAGAATTTATTTGCTTCCAGAAGAGTTCATGTCTTTAATTTTAAAATATTAAATTAAAATTAGAGGAAAATCTCAAAGGAAAAAGAAGAGCAAAAGTTAAAATAAGAAATACTAAGGCTCATAAATATAATTTAAAAGTGACTTAAATATATACTTAAGACACTGAAGAAATGCTTTCTTGAAAAACATTTTAGGGTACTACAAAAATCTTTCAGTGAAATTAATTGGTGTTACTCAATAAACAAATGTAATAATCTATTATATATATGTATTTTGAGATGTAGTCTCACTCTGTTGCCCAGGCTAGAGAGCAGTAGCCTGATCTCGGCTCACTGCAGCTCTGCCTCCTGTGTTCAAGTGATTCTCCTGCTTCAGCCTCCTGAGTAGCTAGGATTACAGGAGTGCACCACCATGCATATCTGGCTAATTTTTTTTTTTTTTTTTTTTTTTTTTTTTGTATTTTTAGTAGAGACAGAGTTTCGACAAGTTGGCCAGGCTGGTCTCGATCTCCTGACCTCAGGTGAAGCACTCACCTTGGCCTGCCAAAGTGCTGGGATTAGAGGCGTGAGCCATTGCACATTCTAACCTAACCTCTAGGTCAGCTGTGAGATCTGAATTAGATAGTTATTTTAAAGAACCTAACAGATGAAAATCATTCAATAAACTGTGACTTTTTCCCACCTATACTGACACCCCCTAACATGGATACAGTGTGAAATCTTTCTCCTTAACACTAATAATAAATTGTATAGCACTTCTGATACTTCTATTAATAATTAAGCAATTCTCTATAAAAAATTATTTCTGAACTTTTGCGTTACCTTTCTTAAAAAGTAGATTTTTCATTAGCCTCGTTGCTCATGAATCAGTTTCAAGTACATATAAATTATCAGAAAAATCAAAAAGCCTTCAACATGTGCTGACACATTTGATGGTCTTAGAAAATAAACTTTTAGTTTAGAAGAGAAGAGGCTGAGTAGATTGAACTTTTTCCTGGTAGGCAAAAGTAGCTCAAAGATCATTCCTAGAAAAGTATACTGGGAGGAGGCTGTTGGTGAAAGTGAAGTGAATACAAAATTAAACATCTTGGATTTAGCATAGATATTCAGCTGAGAGAAGCAAAGTTTGTAAGCAGAAAAAGAGGGTTAAAAGTAAATGGTATAAAGGGTGTTTGCACTTATAAAGCCTCATTAAACTTTATATCCTTTCTCTATGTAATTTTCTGCCTGAGGCAGTAAACTAACCCACCCAGGGTACATAATAAAATAAAAGGTGTTAATAGTTAGGCACCAGATTCACTCTACACCTAAACCTTTAAATGAATTACCATTCCATATGAATGGTAAATTTTCATGTGATGAATCATCACATAATCATGTAATGAAAGGGGGTTGCTGTTTTTCGAATTTGTTAATTAACAGAGTAGTTCAATTTAAAGTTACTTTTTATAAAGTATACACTATTAGGAGGCAAATTATCTGGCAAAGGGTAGCCTGCTCCTGTCACTCCGTGAGCTTCTGGAGTGAAGTAAGCCCAAGGATGAAGCCTGACTCTATCATCTTGAGCCAGACCAAGCCACAACACCTAATCAAATCCTCTAGAAAATAGAATCAATTAGAGGGCAGTGGACAATTGTTGACAGTGGAAGGTGAAGAAAATATATTAGCTTTGGAATTAGACAGATCTAGTTTAAACCCTAGGCTTATGGGATATAAGCAGCCACTTGCAAGCTTTGTAACCTTGAAGAGGTGTCTTCACCTAGTAAGCCTCGATTTTTATTTTTAATGTAAAACACTTTTTTTTCCCAGAAACAGGGCATCACTATGTTGTCCAGGATGGTTTGGAACTCCTGGGCTCAAGAGATCCTTCCACATCAGCCTAAAACACAGATTTTAATACCCAATTTTGTCATAATAAGAATTAAATAAGTTAATACACATAAAGTTTTTAGCATGGCAGTTGATACCTATGGGCCTTAAACAAATAGTACTTTGAAAAAAAGAGTTCCTTTTAAACAATATCTTCTTATGCTTACTAAAGCCATAGGGTGGGAGCTTGGGCTTCTTCCCACTCTGTGGATGTTCATGACCACAACCCACTCTGCATATGAGGCAACGCACCATCATTAGCTGCGAAGGAGCAAACAATGTGTCTCCAGTCAGCCTTACTGAAAATTGCTCCCGATCCCTCTCTTTTTTCAGGGGTTGCAGCAGCTCAGACAAACCTTCCAGTGTGAAAAGAGGAATGGCTATCATGGCATGAGAAAAGCATCACTACTGAAGCTTATTTTTCTGCCTATCTTTTCTTTGAGCATGTTTAGAGCCTTGAACATGTAGAACTGGCCGGAGTCTGGCACATCCTAATCAGTTTTCTTTGCCTTCCTGAAAAGTCCTGTGTACCTTCTCATCACTCAGTGGGCATCAGTTCTCATCTTGGTCCAGGCTTAACTTGGACTTAAGAGTATTGTAAGCATACAAGGAGACTTAGTGTGGCATCTGGTGGAGGTATAGTGAAGAAGGCAACTGGATTAGGAGGCTAAAGTCTTGGCTTCTTGCTAGTTATGGCAAAGTACCTCAACATATCTCAATTACAAAATGCTAATTGTTATTACATAGGATTTGTGTGCATGTGTGATGGTGAAATAAAATAATAAGAAAGGAGTTTATAAATTGTATAGAACTATTACAAAAGAAGGCTTTTATTCTAGTAGACCTATTTGGTGTGTAAAAAATATTGAGCTATATTTAACTTTAACATTAATAAAATCTTCTCCATTTATGACTTCCAATATTGCTCCAAAATGGACTTTATTCTTACCCTGTATATCTATAGACTGTACCATTATAAATAATATTATTAAATGATTAGTAATTTAATTATCTGATTTTAAATTAACATTATAATACTAGTTCAGATCAGTCTGGAAACACACAAAATATTCTCTTAATAAATTGCTTTTGCTTATATTGCTTAAATAACTAACAAGGGTAGAACTGGAAATTTTAAGTGTACAAAGTATTTTTTCATTTAGGGAATCTAAAGAATTATATATGATAACATTAAGCCATATCTTCTACTAACATGAGTGAAACAGGACTTGGCTTTATAAAATCTAGGATTTTATAATTCTCTTTTACAATATAAGAAAATAAAGCAATTGTAACTAACACGGCCCTTTAGAATTTTTTACAACACCTTTTTCTTAGATATGTGTACTCCCTGATAGGCAGAGATGATGAAATAATGGGCTATTAAGGGCAAATAAGTTTCCATAAAAATGCCCAAGCAGGGATATAAGGCATCTCCTGCACGCACAGTTGCAGTTAGTGATTCCAGGTATTATTTTTGTTTTCAGAAAGAAAATTCAATAGAAGATAATGGCGAGTACAGACTGGGGATATGATGGCAAAAATGGTAAGAGTTCTTCTGTTTATATTATATAATATAAATATTGTATCAAAGGATAGCTTATTCTTAGTTCCAACAGAAGAGATATTAAGCATCTAAAATAACCGTACAGCCATAGGTTAATTGTTTGAAGTAGCTGCTTTAAATAATTATAATATCTTTGGATGTATTCTTAGCTTTTGGGGCATGGCTGTTGCATATCTCAGAGATACTGCAGGTTCAGTTTCAGATCCCTATCATAAAGCAAATACCACAGGAAAGCAAGTCACATAAAATTTGGAGTTTTCCAGGGCATTTAAAAGTTACGTTTATACTATGCTGTTGTCTATTAAGTGTGCAATAGCATTATGTCTAAAAAATCTATATACCTTAATTAAAAATACTTTATTGCTAAAATATGCTAGTGATCATTTGAGCCTTCAGCACATATTGATCTTTATGATGGTGGAGGATCTTGCCTCAATGTGGATGACTGCTGACTGATCAAGGTGGTGGTTGCTGAAGGTTAGGAAGGCTCAAAGTCATCCACGACTTTGGAATCAACTTCTTCCAAACTCCTGTTAATGTTGATAACTTGACCTTCTCCCATGAATTACGAACCTTTATGCAGAATGGTGAATTATTTCCAGACAACTTCAATTTCCTTTACCCAGATCCATCATAAAAATTATTATTTATGGAAACTATGGCCTTACAAAATGTATTAAGTAAGATTTGAAAGTTGAAATTACTCCTTGATCCATGGACTGAAGAATAGATGCTGTGTTAGAGGGCATGAACATAACATTAATCTTTTTGTACATTTCCATCAGAGCTCCTAGATGACCATGTTCATTGTCAATGAGCAGTAATATTTTGAAATGAATCTTTTTTTTTTTTACTGAGGAGTAGAGCTCAACAGTGAGCTTCAAAATATTCAGTAAACCAGGCTGTAAACAGATGTGCTGTCATCCAGGCTTTGTTGTTCTTTTATAGAGCACAGATAGAGTAGTGTAAGTATAATTCTTAAGGGTCCTAGGATTTTCAGAATGCTAAATGAGTTTTGGCTTCATATTAAAGTCAACAGTTGCACTTGACCCTAACAAAAGAGTCAGGCTGTTTTTTAAAACTTTGAAACCATGCGTTGACTTCTCCTCTCTAGATGTGAAAGTACTAGATGCTATCTTTTTTCCAATAGGAGACTGTTTTGCCCACTCTGAAAATCTGTTGTTTAGTGTGGTCGCCTTCATCAGTTGTCTTAGCTAGATCTTCTGTATAACTGTCTGCAGCTTCTGCATCAGCACTTGCCAGTTCACCTTGCACTTTCACGGGAGATGGCATCTTTCTTTAAATCTCATGAACCAACCTCTGCTAGCTTCCAGTTTTTCTTCTGCAGCTTCTTTGCCTCTCTCAGCCTTCACAGAATTAAAGAGAGCTACACCCTTGCTCTTACTAGCATTTAGCTTAAGGGAATGTGTTTGTTAGTTTGATCTTCTATCCAGACGACTCAAACTTTCTCCATATCAGCAATATTGCTGCTCTGCTTTCTTATCATTTGTGTGTGCCCTGGTGTAACACCTTTAATTTTATTCAAGAATTTTTATTTTGTATTGACAGCTTGGCTAACTGGCACAACAGGTCTAGTTTTGGGCTGGTCTCAACTTTCGACATGCCTTCCTCACTAAACTTAATCATTTCTAACTTTTGATTTAAAGTGAGAAACATTCGATTCTTCCTTTCACTGGAACGCTTACAAATCATTGCAGGGTAATTAATCAGCCTAATTTTAATATTGTTGTCTCAGGGAATAGGGAGACTTATAGAGAGGGAGAGAGATGGGGAGCAGTCAGTCAGTAAAGCAGTTAAAACACACGCAACATTTACAGATGAAGTTCATCATCTTACATGGACATGGCTTATGGTACCACAGCACTATCACAATAATAACATCAAAGGTCACCATGATAGATATATGAAGAATTTAAAAGTTTAAAATATTGAGAAAATTACCAAAAGGTGACACAGAGACAGGAAGTAAATGCATGCTGTTGAAAATATGCCTCTAATAAGCTTGCTTGATGCAAGGTTGCTATAAATCTTCAGTTTGTAAAAATAATGCAGTATCTGCAAAGCACAATAAAGTGAAGGGCAATAAAATGACATATGCTTGTATTAGAAATCTATTTCTAATAGCAAAATATGTATAACCTGATCCTGTAGACTATAAATATGCATCTATATTAGTAGTATTGACAAATACACTGCTTTATAGTATAATATGGAAAAAAGGAAGGCCAGGTTCAGCGGGAGGCCAAGGTGTGTGGATCACTTGAGGTCAGGAATTCAAAACCAGCCTGGCTAACATGATGAAACCCCACCTCTACTAAAAATACAAGAAAATTGTCCAGGCATGATAGGATGTGCCTGTAATCCCAGCTACTCGGGAAGCTGAGGCATGAGAATTGCTTGAGCCCGGGAGGCAGACGTTGCAGTGAGCCAAGAGTGCACCACTGTACTCCAGCCTGGGTGACGCAGCAAGACTCTGTCTAAAAAAAAAAATAAAAAAAATAAAAGAAAAGAAAAGGGATATTTTCAAACACAGAATTTCTATTAATCTTAACAAAGTATCATTTAATACACTTAAATAAACCCTAATCTAATAAGCAAACAGGTGACTATACTCCTAAAACTTGGAATCAAGCATTTGATAAACTATTGATTTTACACATGTGTGTGTCCTGGTAGGTCCTGAACAATGGGGCAAGCTGTACCCCATTGCTAATGGAAATAACCAGTCCCCGATTGATATTAAAACCAGCGAAGTCAAACATGACACTTCTCTGAAACCTCTTAGTGTCTCCTACAACCCAGCCACAGCCAAAGAAATTATCAATGTGGGACATTCCTTCCATGTAATTTTTGAAGACAACGATAACCAATCAGGTGAGCTGAAAGACCCTTCTGATATTCTTTTCCTTAAAGTCTACTGGGGAAATTTTTTTAAATACTGCTTAAGACACATGACCCCCATCCTAAGTCTTTTGAGCTTGTTTGTAGCATTGCTATAGTCTACTGAGGCATCTTGGACTTCTGGAAAATCCCAGGTGATAAAGACAATTTTTGGAACTCCCAGCTCTGTGTTTTCAGTCTTTCTTTTCAAAGTCACCATCACATCTCTTCTGGCCATTCTAGTATCTACATGGTTACTTCACTTTCCCTGAATAAACAGTATTTATCCAGAAAGGTCCAGTAAAATAGTCATTACAAATATAACAAATATTTTTAATTGGGATGAGGATGAATGAGCACAGTAGAAAAGAGAAACAAATGCTGGGTGCGGCGGCTCACGCCTGTAATCCCAGCACTTTAGGAGGCTGAGGAGGGTAGATTGCTTGAGGCAGGAGTTCAAGACCAGCCTGGCCAACAAGGTGAAACCCTGTCTCTACTAAAAACACACAAAAATTATCTGGGCATTGTGGCGTGTGCTTTTAATCCCAGCCACTCAGGAGGCTGAGGTAGGAGAATTGCTTCAACCTGGGCGTTTTAAGTTGCAGTGAGCTGAGATCATGCCACTGAGCTCCAGCCTGGGCAACACAGCAAGACGCCATCTCAAAAAAGAAAAAAGGGAAACAAAGCAGTGACTGGATTATCCTTACATTCCAGAATCTGGGACAAATTTTGCTACAGAATTAGCTTTTCATGAAGGTTTATTGAATACTTTATTCATCAGTTACAGAGTAGGTGAAGAATGGCTCATTACTCAGAATAAACTACTGAAGATTTTTGATGCATACTGTCTTTGTTGAAAGAATGAAGGAATAAACTAGCAAATTGAAGGAGACCATAATGATAAAATTCACCCACCTTGCAATATGGCTTCTAGGAGTTAGAAATAGGTAAAATTATAGCTCATGTGCTGGGAAATGTATATAAGTCATGGACTATCTCATCAATGCCATAGTCAGGGGTGCACCATACATATGACTGTCATCCTCATGGATGTGGGAGGGGAACCAAGATGAAAGGTACTAATGTTTGTTTTCACTTCTACTCAACACAGTTTAGTGTTGGTTTCTCTTAAATGCAAAGATAAGCTAGAGCTTGTAGAGCATAAGGCTAACAATAGGTTCCCTTTATTTTTCCAGTGCTGAAAGGTGGTCCTCTCCCCGACAACTATAGGCTCCACCAGTTCCATTTTCACTGGGGCAGTAAAAACGAGTATGGTTCAGAACACACAGTGGATGGAGTCAAATATTCTGGTGAGGTAATGTAATTTAGTGAGAGATAATTACCCTGAAAGGAGGGAAGGGTTGAAGAGAGGGAGGAAGGGAGGGAGAGAGGGAAATAGGAAGAAGAGAGATTAAGTGATATGGATAGAATTGTTTTGGTTTACAGTGGTTACTTTATATTGGATAATCAGAAAAGAATTCTTTAAGGAGTGGCATTTGAGTTCAACCCCAATTCAAGACAAAAGTCTGCCATTGGGAGATCATGGGGAAGGAAATTCCAGAGAAAATTAGAAGCTAATGCAAAGGCTCAAAGTTGTGAACATGTGGAGAGGTATAATCTATAAGATGTGAATGTTGATCAGTCAGGAAAGTAAGAAATGAATGACAATTGTTGTACTTATTGATTGAGCAATTAAAAAACCTTATCCTAAGAAGGTAAAATTAAGGTTTGGCAAGAAGGAAATCTAGACTTCTATTTTGACCGTATTAAGTTTGAGACATCCATGTAGAGATATCAAGAACACACATATATATACTTGGATGTACAAATCTAGAGTTCACAGAGACATTAGACTGAAGATATTTGTTAGAGAGATGTCTAGAAAGGACACTAATGCGACTGAAAGAATCTATTCTTGGCCAAGACTCCCAGGTACTCCAGGAACCCTTTCTCATAAAGTTACTATAAAATACCTCATGTGAGAGAAAATTTCTTCAATTTTTTCCCCAAAATCTAGTCAGTCATATTTTCTGATCTTTTCATAACAAAGAGAGATATTTTTAAAGGATATTAAATAAAAATATTGTAGGAAAAGAAATTTTGCTTACCAGTTCCAGGTTTTGCAGTCTCTGCTTGGCACACAAATAACCCTTCCTAAGGGTGAGAACGTAACTCTTCTAGCCCATTGGAGAAAGGTTCACAAAAGTTTTATCTCTCTAAGCCAAGATACATCATCATATGGTAACAGGTTAACCTATAATTCATCTTTTGTCTTCACACTGGTATAAATAATTAATTAATCATAGTATCATTTTTAGTTTCACATAGTTCACTGGAATTCTGCAAAGTACTCCAGCATTGCTGAAGCTATCTCAAAGGCTGATGGTTTGGCAATTATTGGTGTTTTGTTGAAGGTGAGTTACAGATAATTACACAGCTCTGCTTCCACTGTCTTATTAATCAGACCTCAAAACAGGAGGAATTAAGGCAACATATATTTTAGAATTTCTTATTGGAAAGTTCCCATTCAATGACCACAGGTGAACAAATAGTGCCTAGTATTTTATTGCTTGGTTTTATCTCTGGTTTTCCCTCTTAAAGAGAGAAATGAGTTTCAGGTGGAAGTGAAACAGAAAGGTATTCACAGGGAAAAAGGAATTTCTATTTTCCAACTCTAAAAAGGAAATTCCCTTTCCTCTAAACGTCCTATCTTATAGATTCTGAAATTTATTGATTTAATAGCTTATCAGTGAAGAAATATTATTAAATATTAATAAGAAAACCTGAAATAATAGATACAGAAATTTATCAATTTAATATCTCATTAGGAAAGAAATATTAAGAGATTTTTTTTCTTGCAAAGAACGTTTCATTGATTTTTTTAAATGGCAAATGTTACTCAAATATTCTATAGAAGAATTTCTTAAAAGTTCTACAAAAATGTTATTATTAAATTGGGTATGCCTGGGTAACTAAGTAACTCTTGAAATTATAGCATTTCTACTTAATCTTTACTGAGCATTTACAATATGCCAAATACTGTAGTAATGTTAACTAATTTAACAGATCAAAAGTAAGAGATTGTTTTTATCTCGCAGCTTTGCTAAATTTCTACATTTTGCCCTGCATAACTTTGAACATATTGTTAATAATTAAGCTTAAATCAAGCTTTTTGTTTGCTACTTTATCTGTAAGTACATATTATAAACAATTTATAGAGTACAAAGGTCTTCAAAGACATGCAGCTTGAAAAATTTCTCCTTCTAAAGCAGAGAGAAGGTACCTTACCTCTCGTCAGTGGTTAATTGAAAAAAATTAAAAACTTAGCTAAGCAGTGTTCCACTGATAATAATCTTTATCTCCCACTTTTTTTTTTTAATCTCCAGGTTGGTGAGGCAAACCCAAAGCTGCAGAAAGTACTTGATGCCCTCCATGCAATTAAAACCAAGGTAAATACACTAAATAAGTAGTTTAAATCACAGAACAAGAATTTCTAGATCTATGGAAATTATTTAATAAAGTATTGCAACTGGGAAGTAGGAAGGCCATAGCAAAAGCTACCAACTGAAAATTAAGGTGCTACTTCAATATTGTCTGCCTCTGAGAAAATCTCAAATGCAGGGAATTGTTTGGGTTTTTTGATTTTAATAGTTATGGTTTACTTATTTCAGCAGGATATGGTCTGCAGAAAAACAGATTATATAGCCATTTAAATTTGCTTGAAAAACTGTATCTAACTAAATTGTGATTTTCCATTTGATAAATAAAGATATCTCTATTTTTTAGCAGTACAAAAATTCAAAGTAAAGGATATTCTTTTGAGATACGATTGATATACAATCTTTTATAACCATAATTTCTATTTGTCAACTCAAAGAAATTGTTTGTTTTATATACACAACCTTAGCTTTACTGTTTTAATGGTAAGTAGTTAAGCCATAAATCAGAGATTTGTTGTTTTTTGCAATATGGAGAACTTTCATATTTTTGTGTAAAATAAATCTGATTTATGCTGATTCTAGAAAAGATTAAACTTAAATGAGTGTCTTATAAGGTATAAATGATAAAAAAAATAAGCCCTCAAGAGTTATCAAACATAATATATGAAAAGAAAATAGAAGAAAATAGTGAAACTAAAAGCAGAAAAGAATAAAACAAGAAAGAAAAATGATGGCTGGGTGTGGTGGCTCATACCTGTAATCCCAACACTTTGGCAGGCCAAGGCAGGCGGATTGCTTGAGGTCAGGAGTTCAAGACCAGCCTGACCAACATGGTGCAACCCTGTCTCTGCTAAAAATACAAAAAATTGGCTGAGCATGGTGGCTCATGTCTGTAGTCCTAGCAACTCAGGAGGCTGAGGCAGGAGAGTCACTTGAACCCAGGTGGCAGAGGTTACAGTGAGCCGAAATCATGCCACTGCACTCCAGCCTGGGTGACAAGTTAGACTCCATCTCAAATAAATAAATAAATAAATTAGAGAAATAAGTAAAGGGTAAAATTTTTATCAATAAATTGAAAAGTTGATTCTTTGAAAGAACAATGAAAAAGGCAGACTTTGAGGAAGTTGGATAAAGATTTTAAAAAGCCATACATTTAAAATATTATTTAAAATAAATAGGTTGTAACTAAAGATATAGAAGAAAATTTTGAGAGACAAAATTCTTTATAACATTATACCAATAAGTTTGAAAATTTAGTTAGAATAGATAATTTTCCAAGAAAATATGAAGTAAGGGAATTGACTCAAAATGAGTTAGAATGCCAAAATAGACTGAGAACCTAAAGATAAATTTAAACAATACTCAAAATGTATCTGTTAAAGGACAAGACTAGGCCCAGACCATTTCATGGAAAAGGGTTACTCAACTTTTAAGGAACAAACATGCCAGTGTTAAATAAACTGCCCAGATGAAGGAACAGATGGAAAACTTCCCATCGATTTAATGGAATCTGATACCGAAACTGGGTATGAAAACTATAAAAACAAACAAAACAACAAAGTAGGATAAACTTTCTTAGGAATATAACTAAAGAAAATCCTAAAATCTATTATAACAAATAAATTCAACAGTGTATTAAAAGAGTAGTTTCTGAACTAGTAGAGTTTAATCCCAAAAATGCAAGAGTGATTCAATATTAGAAAATCTTAATGTAATTCATCATATTAACAAAGTAAAGATGAAGAAAACCTCATGATCAATTTTTTAGATGCTTAAAAACCATTTGATAAAAGTTAATGCCCTTTCTTTAGGAGAAAACAAAATGAAAGAAAGCTGTCTGAAAACTTCTTGAATTTGATAAAGAATCTTACCTAGAAACTTGTATCAACATTTAACTTCATAGTGAACGCTAGAAGCATTTCAATTTCAATCAGGGACAAGACCAAGGTGCCACTGTGACCATCACAACTGAAAATTATAATAAGGGTCCTAATCAGTGCAACAAAATAATGAAAGAGACATATTATGATAGATATTCAAAAAGCAAAAAGGAAACTATAATCATGTGCAGATATCATCATCAACATCTACCTGAAAACTTCAAAAGAATCATCTAAAATATAGAATGCATAAAAGATTAACATACAAATATCAGTACATTTCCTATATACATATAAATATCAGTACGTTTCCTATACACCAGTACTAATCAGAAAAAATGATGTAAATAAATAGAATAAAACTAAAACATGACCAATATGCATGTCAATGAAGATCTTTGCCACTAAAATAGAATCTGGCCTCATTCCTAGAGAAAAAAATAAAAGCTTTATACTAGAAATCAAATATCGTTTAAAGATATAGATTGTAAAATACTTTTTTGAAACTTTGCTTATCTGCAACCAAATGAAGAAGAATATGTCATGATCAAAAACTTACATGTAGCACATTTTTCATCTTTTTTCTTCTGTTGATATTATTGTTTGTATCCACAAACACATCAGTCATGAAATACTAAATAGTACAAAAATCAATGACTCTTAACTAAAATCTCTAAATAATGTATAACAAGATAATATAGCATGTGTGTGTGTGTGTGTGTGTGTGTGTGTGTGTGTGTGTGTGCGTGTGTGACATATATTCATATAAGCATTTTATATTATGCTGTAATTATGTATACTTTTCTTCCAGGACAAACGAGCCCCATTCACAAATTTTGACCCGTCTACTCTTCTTCCTTCATCCCTGGATTTCTGGACCTACTTTGGCTCTCTAACACATCCTCCTCTTTATGAGAGTGTAACCTGGATCATCTTTAAGGAGAGCATCAGTGTCAGCTCAGAGCAGGTAGAGTATCAAAGGCGAATGAATGGGAAGTGGTTATGTGTGGCAGGAATATTACTTTAATTGATAATATCAGTGAGAGAGATTATTATTTCTACTAACTTTATGAGTTCATTTTTCCTCCCAACTTAAAAATATTAATTTTGAAGCACAGGCCTACTAACCTATCCAAAAAATGAATTATAATACTTTTTTTGCCTTTATGAGAAAAAAAATTCTCTCACTATTCTTTCCTCCTTAATAAGGAAAAGTCCAACCTTGTTAAATATCTTCTTAAGCATTTCACAAATAAAGGAAAAACTGTGACTGGACATTTCAATAAGACTTTGGGGAATTGTGGCTCTCAGTTGGCATACCTTGATAGTTGGCAAAATATTTGTGTTATTTTTGTGGAGCTTAAACTTTTAAATATTCAACAAAATATCTCATTAACTGTTGTTTATAATGGTGATTACAGTAAATGTCATACATTGGTCAATACGTTTATTAGGTGCCTTACGTATGTCTTGTTAGCTAAATTTCGTAACAAACCTACAGGACAAGCATAGTAGCCTGTTGCTAACTGACATTTATTGAGCACATGCTATACGTCAAGCATCATTCTAAGGGCTTTGCATATATTAACCCAATTAATCTTCACAACAACACAGTGCAGTAAGTACTATATGGAAACTAAGGTACCAAGCTAATAAGTCACTCATCCAACATAGTTGGTACAAAAGTTGATACGTTAACCCAGTCATCAACAATTTAAGCAAAATGATTGGTCAAAGGAATAAATGTAAAGGATTTGGGGCCTTCTCTCTTCCTATTAGTGATATCACGGCAATTTCTAACTCAGTTTTCTAAATATCAGAGCATTAGTATGCTCTAAATAAAATACTTTATCTAACTTTAAAAATTTTGATTTTTAAAATATTTTATCCTTCCAGCTGGCACAATTCCGCAGTCTTCTATCAAATGTTGAAGGAGATAACCCTGTCCCCATTCAGCACAACAACCGCCCAACCCAACCTGTGAAGGGCAGAACAGTGAGAGCTTCATTTTGATGAGTCAGAGAAAAAACTTGTCCTTCCTCAAGAACACAGCCCTGCTTCTCACATAATCCAGTAAAATAATAATTTTTGAAGAAATAAATGTATTTCCATATTAGCAACACAGCATGCCTTCAAATCAATCTATAAAACTAAAAAACTTAAATTTTAGTTCTTACTGCTTAATTCAAATAATAATCAGTAAGCTAGAAAATAGTAATCTGTGAGCATAAGCTTATGCTTAAATTCAAGTTTAGTTTGTGCAATTCTTTAAAATTACAACTAAGTGATTTGTATGTCTATTTTTTTCAGTTGATTTGAACCAATAAAATAATTTTATCTTTCTTTCTATTGTGCACTCAGTTTCTAAAACCATTAAGTTTCTACTCCATTTACATCTAAAAATCTTAAATACTTCACTTGCAAGAGTATTTTCCTCAAATGTAACAACCTAAGAGCAGCTGGAGATGAAATATTAAGAAATTCATTTGCTTACTCCTGAAGATAAAATATAGCTGAGATGACAACTGGATTTAATATCGTTACGCTGGCCCAACATTGCTACCATTTGTGTTGTCTGTGATCCAAATGATTATCTTTTATATAGGAAGATGATGCTTCTGGATATTGCTTTCACTTCTTCTTCCCACATTAGCAAGGACAATGCTTCTCTGCCATTATTACAAATAGTTAGTGTGGAGAATCTTTAGTTTAAAATTGGAAGAGAAGTCACAAGTGAATGGTTTCTAAAAATACTAAAGAAGGCTGGGTGTGGTGGCTTATGCCTGTAATCCCAGCACTTTGGGAGGCTGAGGCAGGCGGATCAGGAGGTCAGGAGTTTGAGACCAGCCTGGCCAATATGGTGAAACCCCATCTCTACGAAAAATACAAAAATTAGCCACGTATTGTGGCGCACGCATGTAGTCCCAGCTACTTGGGAGGTGGAGGCAGAAGAATCTCTTGAACTCGGGAGGCAGATGTTTCAGTGAGATTGCACCACTGCACTCCAGCCTAGGCAACAGAGACTCTGTCTCAAAAAAAAAAAAGCTAAAGAAGTAATTTGTGCTTAGAATCATATAGAAACATAACGCAATCCTTGAGTCAGATGTGCACTTCAGCTAATGCTAGTTATTTTTATCTTTAATTTATACACAGTAATTGTACATATTTATGGAGTACAGTGTGGTGTTTTTTGTTTGTTTTTTTTTTTTGAGGCAAGGTGTCACTCTGCCACCCAGGGTGGAATGTGATGGTGCAATCATAGCTTACTGCAGCCTCAAACCCCTGGGCTCAAGGGATCCTCCTACCTCAGCCTCTTGGGTAGCTGGGACTACAGATGCATGTCACCATGCAAGCCTAGTTTTTTAATTTTTTTGTGGCGACATGGTCTCTCTATCTTGCCCAGGCTAGCAGTGTGATATTTTGATTCATATACATAATGTGTAATGATCAAATCAGGGTAATTAGCATATCCATTATCTTAAATATTTATCATTTCTTTGTGTTGAGAATATTCAAAATCATCTACTCTAGCTATTTTAAAATATACAATAAATCATCGTTAATTATAGTCGCCCTATTGTGCTGTAAAACACTAGAACTTATTCTTTCCATTTTTGCTAAAGCCATGTCTACATCTGGAATTCTACAAATCCTGTGTCCAGTGCTTAATCTTGTGATTTAATTTAGTTATCTCATTTGAGGTAGTAGAGATCAAAGTCCAATTGTTCATTTCTGTAAGTTTTAGCAAAATTCCTCAAAAAACGTTAAGTAGATTCTTCACTGGTCTAAGGAAGCCTTTCTGCAAAGGCTGTGTTTGTTTTATACCTAAATCCCATACTAAGAGACTTCTTTTGAATAACTTGACTTGGGGCTTAGAAATTAGGTGAATCCTCTTCATTAAAATGTTATTTGTTTTTATTTTTTATCAAAATTGATTTGTTTTATAAATAAATAAAAATAAAAATTCTAAATTTCCCCCAAATTTTGAATTTTCCAATTCAAAAATTTATTTATTAAGACACAATCTCTCTCTGCTGCCCAGCTGCAGTGCAGTGGCATGATCTCGGCTCACTGCGACCTCCAACTCCCTGGTTTGAGTGATTCTCCTGCCTCAGCCTCCTGAGTAGCTGGGATTACAGGCAAATGCCACCATGCTTGGCTAACTTTTATATTTTTAGTAGAGACAGGGTTTCACCATGTTGGCCAAGATGGTGTCAATCTCCTGACCTTGTGATCTGTCTGCCTTGACCTCCCAAAGTGCTAGGATTACAAGTGTGAGCCACTGCCAGGCCAGAATTTATTGATTTAAAAAAATAAATACAAATACAATGGAGTCAAGTAACACATCAGCTCTACACCCGTATGCAACCTCTAAATATAAAATATCTTCTTTGCAAAGGAATCCAGCTGTGTATGATGCTCTATATTTGCCAAATATTGAGAAAGCCTCCAACAGTTATACCTGTGTTAGGATTCTATTACTCTACATAAGTCATATTGATAGGATTTTAATTACAAAGTTATCAAAGGTTCTCAAAAGGTAATACCCCTTACAGCAGGGTATTACCTTTTCTCAAAATTACCCTACTGTAAGGAGTATTACCTTTTGAGAACCATTATGCTTTCTTTTCTTTTTCAAAAGAAAGAGAGTTATGAGCTTAAGTTGTGAAATACATTTGCAAAAGATGTTCATTTAAAAATGTTTTCTGAAAATAAATTAAGCAATTTAGAAGTAAGTTTCACAGGAAGGATCTGAAAAATGCTTGACCTGATGGTCCATATATTTTTTAAGAAGGTTAAAATGGATGCTAGCATCTAGATATAAATCTGTAAGTCCTATTATGGAAAGGGCAAAGATGTGACAAAAATTACATGATGGCCATCTAACATTATCCCTAAGGCAAATGCCAACTGAGGAGCATGTTTCCCCTTACTACCTCTGCCAGAATGTCATATATTTGGCAGAGCTCACGAGATACATTATGCATTTCTCTGAAGTAGCCGATAGAAACAGCTGTTGTGAGAAGGTATGCGGACTAGGCATTGGATCATCTGAGAGTGTAACTCATATGTGTTGCTGACTCACCCTCTTCTTGTATGGCCTCATCTTTTGTCAACTTAGGTAAAGGATTTAAGCATACCACAAGGATTCTCTGGTTTTTCCATGATGTTTGGCAGTTGACCTTCTTTAGGCTACATCTATTGGGCTTCTAAGTATCTAGTAAAAGCCAGATGGTGAGACCCAGCATGGGCTCAAGGACAGAGAGTGTTTCTACTCCATGCTGTTTTCTGTCTTTTCACCTGCCCTTCAGAAAAACCCAGCTGTACACTTATCACTATGGCACCCTTCTGCTGATTTGTGAGTCCACATAGATCCAAATATTTTCTGCATTGTTCATTTCTGTAAGGTTTAGCACAGTGACTCAAAATACATTGAATTCATCATAATAGGAATTAGAGCAACGTAAAAAAAGAAATATCTTCATTAAATTTAATTTCCTTACGTGACTCAAAAGATCAGATATCTATTTATTATAACTCTAGGATCTCCCTATAAGCAGTCCTTCTCTATTTTGTGGTGCAGATTCCTACCAATATGTGATTAAAGCTATGAAACCTCTCTCCCTTACCAAAAAACTTTACATAATCAGATACAGCCAAAATTTTGCACTGAGTCTTAGAATGTTTAGGAACTCAGCCTTTTCCTTCCCTCCCCATCACAAAGTCATTCCTGGACCTCAGGAAAAGATACCTGCTCTAAACAATTTGAAAACTTAAAAATGGACTCCAAGTCTCTCTTGGTCTTTCATCCTAATGTAATATTTATTTTTGCTTTTCTACCTCATCCTTTATAATATGTACCTAGAAATGGAATGGTGGTATATTTCTCATATCATTCATGAATTATCAGTTTTTTCTTTCTCCTCTAAAAATATTACTTTGGGTTGATATAATGTTTCATTGTAGAAGAGTTATAAAAAGATTTAAAAAAAAAAAGAAAACTAAACCTTAGTGAATTGTTAATTAGTGGGTAATAAATAAAGGGTTACAAATGAAAATAAAAGGGGATAGAAGAGAAAATTTAAGTGAGGAAGATATCATCAGGTAAATAAAGGACAAAAATCATTTTAAAAGCCATCAACATTCTCTGTATCCAAGACCATGAAAGCATAATGAAATACTTATTTTATAAGCATTATCTTCATGGTTACCTATAAACTCTAAATGTTTATTTACCCACTGATTTTCATGAGACACTGCACAGATTTTCTTATTACTCTTAATAGATTTGCCAATTTTCAACCTCAGTAGATACACAAAGAGATAGATAGACAGACATAGCTACTGTATAAATGAGTAAATAATTATGCTTACTCCAGACTGCTCTAATTTGGCAAAATAGAACTACAGATGTAGGTATATAATCAATTAGCAAAAGATAGCTGATTTTGTGTTCCTAGACTTAAAGCTAAGGAGAAAATGAATGAAATAAAAAAATTTCAGTAGAAATATAACAAGCTTGAAAGAAATATGGAGAAGTCATCACACGATTCTGGTATAAACTCTTGCTTTCAATAAATAAGTAACTCATAAGGAGTAACCTTAGAGTCTTAAAAATATGTGTACACTCTCACCTTGTACCAAAACAGTGAACTGATAAACGAAGGGCTTGTGTTTGAAGACTTTAGAAGGCTCAGATCACAAGAGCATTTACCAGAGTTTGCTCACAGGGGCATCTTGGATGCTAATCCCCTAACTATGAGAAGATAGAAATAGCAGTTATGTCAGAGAGGAACAGACTTTAAGTGGCTTCATTTTTTCTCTCAAAAACTAGAGTATATATTTCCCAAGTCATTAATAAATATTTTAATACCGTTTACAAATAGAAGCATGTTATGCTATTTAGGTAGGTTACCTTCTATTAAGTTATTAGATGACCTACATTGCCAGCAGGAGCAAATATCCATAGCAGAATCATACTGTGATAGAATAACATTTTTAGCTACTTAAAAAAAATAGTTAGAACCAGATCTCACCCATATATCAATATATATCCAAGATGGGTTAAGTTTTTCAATGAAATCATTAATTTGCTAGGAAATACATAAATATTTAAATAAAATCTAGTAGGAGAACTTTATTCAAAAACACCAAAGGCAAACCCAGGAAATGGCAGAATAATTTATTGAACTGTGAAAAATTAAATATGTAGGTCAAAGGAGCAACAAAAAAATTTAATGAAAAGAAAAATGACAGCTGGGAATAAAGTTCCAGTATAAATGGCATCCACAGGAACAATGTCCTTGCTATATAAAAAGCTTTCGCAAGTTTTAACATAAAAATTGA